TTCTAATGGTCCGTCCCTAAGCGCCAGACAAGCAAACGCATTTGATAACCAGCAAAGTTAACCGTCTCTGATCGGATTCAAATCCCTTCCAAAACGACTCATAAAGACACAGGAACAAAGGTAAATGCATCTTATTATTTTATTAGCTAATACAGCATAAAAACATCTAATTTTTTCTATTAGCTAATACAGCGTTCGGGCTCCCTGTGATAAATGATAGCTGTTACAAATACGTTAAAAGTAAACAAATACACACGCAAAAAAAGTGTTGTAGTCAAGAAGTTCATAGCTCACTTTCGCACAATAAAATGGTTTTCCTTTTGAACAATTACCACTGTGAAATCTAGAATCGTTTTCGGTGTTTAAACTGGCGGAAGAGAGGCGAATTTGCGCCAGAGTTTCAAATGCTGTCTAAGTTCATCAATACAACTACAAGTTCAAAGATCGTAAATCAGTCGAGTACCATAAATGTTTTCAGTTGTAAAAACTCGCAGTTTGAATTGCCCCAATAGGGGAAGCATTGCTAGGGGAAGCATTGCTCTGTCTCTGGAATACCATTTTTCTAATGAAAGCCATATACCAGGAAGGGATTTTCGCAGTTGAAAAATGGCAAAATTGATGGTCGCGATAACACTGATTTTAAAGGGGGTAATTTTGATTGAAATCTTTTGAAATGGTAACAACGTTTAGATTCAAAGGAAGGATAATGAAATTATTTAACGCACATTTTTCGGGGGTTTGAAGGCCTCTGGAAGGTGAAAATTAAAAAAAATTGATTATTTTGAAAAATATAAAGGCAAAGGAACTGAGTCTTGTATTTGCTAAAATAGTTTCCAAAGGGCTTTGTTGTGACAAAGTTTGGGGAATTTGGATTTTTTCATCTTGCACAGCTATCCGTGGTATTTACAGAAAGTCGCTCTTAAAGTATAGCGGTACCAAACGATAATGCTAGCGGAAATTTTAATTTGGGCAACGATTCAGTTTTGTTTTCGGCTTGACTTATCTCTCGGGCTGAAAGGTGATGACGTCTCAAGCACGTGACTTGGGCAAACTGCTTTAACTCTGTTCATTTAGAACAGTTTAATTTACTTATTATAGATATTTAAACTATAGTTTTGGGGTAGGCCACAGAGTAATGGAATTCTGTGATAGTTACGCCTTCTTGTTATTGTAAAAGGCGGTTTGCATGCGATGGTCACCATGTAATACATGTGTTTCTACTGATAGAAGTCTTCGGGTTTATTATAAGTCACCTGTTTGGATGCCTAGGCTCCCGGAGCGGGTACTCTCTATAATGGCCTATACGGGGAGGCTCCGCCCGAAAGGGGTATCTTTTTTCAGGCTTCAGGTATATGAAAGGGTAGGGATTTTACTCGTTGTAGTATATGAAGGGAGGAAATCTGTCATTTGAGTCTGTTAAAGCGCCCAAAGGGCTAACAGATGAATTCTATGTCTTTATAAAGTGGTGAAAACGTTTAATTTTTGTGGTTGATTCTCATTCAATTGAGAGTGCATTTACAGCAGTCAAAAGGGATGCAAAATTCTAAACAAGGTATGTGAAAGCGGTACCATTTGTCAATAAAAGGTATACGAAAGGGGTTCCTTTTTCGTGAAAAAAATGGTATATAAAAGGATAAGTAGGTTGGACTTTAGGACCCGTGTAAAAATTTGTTTAGCACCCTTCCCCCCCCCCCCCCC